CGTACTGGTCGACCGACGATGGTCCAGAACTGCTTCTTCATGTTTTTTCTCTCCGTCGGTCGACCGACGAAATTTCCGGTCGACCGACAATAGATCCGTTGGCTTCTAACGGCTATTTCTTGAGCTGTTTGCTGGGGCTGTTTTTTGTCTTTTTGTTTGGGTTTTTGGCTGAGTTTTGAGAGGGTATAAATACGCCATTGCCTTCAGCTCTCCAACTAAGTAATGAGAGTTTTAAAACAAGTTTAAGAAAGTTTTAACAAGGGTTTATGTTTGGTTTAAGTTTGTTTAAAAAGCTTTTAAGCATTTGAGAGTTTGTTTTTGTGATTCAATTCTACAAGAGCTTGAGGAGATCATCTATTGGTGTTTGGGCATTCAACTATTCTCCCTCCAACTCTTGATATATTGAGAAGTTTTCTAAACTCTATTTCTAGCTATTTTATATATTTGATTATCATTGTTATTTAGCTAGAACTACATTGAGTTTAGTTTTGATGTATATCTCTTTGTTCACACACAACCTTTTGAGCTTATTGTATTTACATTCATAGTATAATTTTGGATTGTGGGTTTGTGACTAAGAGTTGTGCTTAATTGAGTTCTCACCTTGTTTTGAGAACAATCATTTGTTATATTTATGCTTATTGTGAGAATCACTTTGTAATACACTTGTACACCGAGTGAGGAGTGTGTGGTGAGAGTCGGGGATCATCCCAAGAGGAGTGGCGTCGGTTGACATGCCTAGTGAGAGGTTGTAACCGAGCACTTGAGGGAGACACGGCTAGGTCCAACACTTAGTGGGTGTAGAGTGTGATTGCAAGAGTGTGAGTTGTAGAGTTTTCGGTTAGCTAAAAAACCGAGTGTGTAAAAGAAGTTCCGGCTTCCAAACCGGATTGTGTGTGTGGATTTCTCCCCGGGAGTGGGGAGCGGAGATGTAGGACGGAAGGTCCGAACTCCGTGATCATATTGCTTATTTGAGTGTGCTTTGGCGTTCATTCATATTTATGTTCATATCTTATATCGCCATTGTCATTAGCTCATTATCTATATCATCCACTATCTTGTTTAGATTATCTACCCTTGTGTTGTTTATATATCCTTGCATATATCTCTATCATATAGGATATATCTCATTGTTCATATTGCTTATCCTAGCTTATATTCTTATTGTATTTCATACTTGCTAGGATAACTTGTTAATTATTTTTTTAATTGGCATTTAATCGGATTAGATTAGCATAAGACCCTAATCACCCCCCCTCTAAGGTCTAACAATTGTGAGTCTGGTTGTACTGACGATGATTATGATTTACATGAATCTCATACTGCATTTATTGGAAAAAATGAGCAGCGGGTAGCCGTTGCCTTTGATGATGGTTGTGTACAATTATATTACATGTCCGATATAAATGGACTAACTTATTATAGATCATTTCCTCGAGTCTTGCACCTCCTAACATGTATAATTTATGGATTCTCATGTCAGATTGTAATCCATGAATTAGTGAAGACTAGAGGTCTAAATATGTGACTGTTACGGTTTAATCTCAGAATTTGGATGCTACATTATACCATGGTCTTCTTTCTCCCTTTTTTTCTGATCGTTACTTGTGCTGGCCTATGTCTCCATCCATGTCATTGTACCATAATCATGTATGTGTCTTTGCTCCATAGGAGGCGAGTCATCTAGATTTTGCTTAAATTGTTTGAACTGTACCTACTGTAGTTCTAGATATTGCTTAAATTGTTTGAACTATACCTACTGTAGTTTGGAGAATCAAGACCTTAGTTACAATTTACAAAACTATACACTATTTCTGACATGGTTGGATTTTCTTAAATATCATTCCCTTGGGATTTAGGTGCAGTAGAATGGTGATGAAACTTCACATGTGATGTAATGGATAAGTCCTTAGAGTACAAAGCTGAAAACAAATGGACAGTGCACAAAGCTGAAAACAAATGTGCTTGCCAACAAACAAAAGTAAACTTTTGCCAGTAATAATCAAAACCAAATTCCGACATTCCCCTGAATGGGCAGAGTAAGAAAGGACCAAAGAGAAGGAAATTTTGTTGTATCTCTTCAATTTTAAATTGTTATTGTTTCATAAATGTGTCTAAGGAAAATATTAGTGCTACCTGCATTACAGTAATGATTGCTAATATCATTTGACTTTCTGTCCATACAAAGAAAAGTTTTTCCCCCTTCCTGTTTTGGTTGCAGTCGCAGGTGCTTCTTATGACACTGGCAGGGTCATTTCTAAAGATGATTCAACTCCCCTTGTGATTGTGATTCCTGGACTTACCAGTGATTCCGCTTCTCCAGTAAGTTATTTACTTCCATATTCCTTATTCCAGTATACACACCCAACAATTCCCCTTTACAATTTAGTCATATTCCATATTCCTCTTGGATCTTTAAGTTTATAGTCTAAATTGTAATGGTAGAAATAACTTAATATTAATAGTAATTTCTTATCACGCGTGATTCCTCTGAGTTTTTCCTTCAAATTCAAAGGTTGCACTTACAGGTAACAGCTGATCTCACCCCTCTCAATCCAACACAGGTGGTTGTCAAGTTCGATACCTTCAAAATTCTTGGTCTGGTGAGTGATAATTTTCCTCGTAATTTAATTATATTTATATTTGAGCACTCCGTAGTTATTAATACATATCATTTTCTTCTTTTACATCTATTGTATTTTTATTTTTATTATCATGTTTTTTGTGATATAATAAGGCCAGAGTAAAGTCCTAAAAAAATAACTTACCTCTTTGAGCTTCGATAATATTCGAACATATACCTATAAAGGCACTTGATATCGCTCGCGGTGAATTGGAAATCACTTACTTAGACGAGGAGATCCGGTAAGGCACTTCCCCAATATTATGTAATGTTTTACTGCGGTGATAAACTTTTGACTGCGAGTATCGAAAAGAAAATAAATACTTGTTCATTTTACTTGTGTCATGTCATATTTTAGTTTGATTAAAGTCGTCGCACTATATTTGTACTATATACTTAGATGAGGAGATCCGGTAAGTCACTTCCCCAATATTATGTAATGTTTTCTTCCTGCTTTCCAAGTGCGTAATATCAAGTAAATGTCTAAATCAAATAAAATGATTACTATTTAACGAAATAGCAAGAATTTTCCATATCTTTACGAGAAAGAACTCTAGAAGTGCTCTGTCATCATTATTCACATAGCCCAATTGTTGGATGGAGATAATGACTTCGGGAATAGTATGTGATATTGAGGCTTGTAATGTTATTTCCCTCATCTGTGATGATGATTTTTAGTTTGTGATTCCTGTTTTGATTTATTTTATAATTAGGTACATCAATTTTGATTTCATCAATCTAATATCAAATAGTGCACATGCAAAGCAAAGCGAGATTGCATTTAATAATTTATTTTTATCTGATTCTGATTTGGTTCAGAATTAGAGAGGAGAACAAACCCTTGGATTATTGAAAATTATGCAACCATAGTTTCTATTTTTTTAAGTTGATCCGTTCATAGTAGTTCCCTTGGATGATTGGAAACTATGAATTAATTACATCGCCGTTTCTTTGATTTGGTTTGGAATCGGATAAGAGAAAGATATGGGTTGTCTTTGATTTGGTTCTGGAATCGGAGAATCACAAATGATAGAGTTTAGTTTTTTTTTTGTTATGATTTCGGTTGTGATTTTTTTTCCTAAATTAGGTATTAGGTATATCAATTCTGTTTTGATCAATCTAATATCAATTGCATAACCAATAGATTAAAGATATTAAAATGTTTTGTAATCATTACTTGAGAAAACCTGTTCCTTGAGTAATTATGTATGTTGTGAAAACCTGTTGTGCAATTCTCACGTAAATAATGTAACAATTTTTTTATGTATGTTGTCTCTGAATAATTATGTATGTTTTGTCTCTGAGTAATTATATATGTTTTGTAATACACTATTACGTGTAGATTAAATTATTTAACATTTTTTCATATTAATGCAGATATCCTACTTGGTTGGATTTGCCTTGTTTTTTTTAAAAACATTTCTAAAGTTGTCGGTGATTCAGGTATTATGTGAATCTAAATACATATTCATAGAATAGTTCACTTTATTAATTTAATTTTGCATGTCAAGTATTTTTTACTTATCTATATTGCACAAAAAATATTGTCGATGAGTCGTTCGCAATAAAAATGATGACCAAGCACAGCTTCCTGAACCTTATGAGAGAAAACAATAGCTTTCTATAAAGAAGGTATTTTATATATTAATCTGTGTGTTTTAGTTATGCTCATAAGCTTTTCTTTTGTCTTGTCTTGACAGTTTCATGTTATTTTGGGTTTCAGATTTTTGTTTGATCAATGAAAACTGGCCGTCTATTAGATATTCTTAGCGGTCATGGAGGACCAGCTCATGGTTTTATGTTTTCGCCTACAAATGTAAGTAAACTCCCTTTCTTTCTTTTTGTTGTTTAGAAAGATAAAATTAAATGTAAAATATCATTTCATATTGTACTATTCTTATTTAGCTAATTTTATTTATCTTTTGCTTAGATATATAATTCATGGTTTGGTATTTTTAATGCATATTATACAAAACTACTGTTTCCTTATCTCACATTTGTATCTATCTACCCTTTAAAAGAGCCAGTTCCTAAAAAACTTTACCCTTCCCAAATTAACCTTCAACCATTTTAAATATACCTAATTTCTCCTTTTAATAAGCGTTATAGAAATTTAATTTCGTCATCAGCATCGGAAATTTCCCACTTCGGTTACGCCTTCCTCTTCGCCGAAGCCGAAGAGTTCATCGGTTACCCTTCTCCGTCGAAGCCGAAGCGTTACAGAAATTTGCAAAGATGAGTATTTCTTTAGAATTTTCTCTTTAATCTCCACAGTTTTCAGATTTTGGTCATTCAGTAAGTTATTTCTTCTTCATCTTCACTGGCTATAAAGAAGGTATTACAAGATAAGAGATACAAGAACAGAGAGCTTCAGTTGATGCACTCGATGGATCATCCGAATGTTGTTTCTTTGAAGAACAGTTTTTCCTCGACCACCAGTATAGATGAGCTTTTCCTCAACCTGGGTATGGAATACGTGCCTGAATCCTTGTACCGGGTACTCAAGCATTATAGCAGTATTAACCAGAGGATGCCACTTATATTTGTTAAGCTCTACACTTATCAAGTATACATTTTACTTCTCTTATGCTGTGTTGATTGTGGTTTCATGTTGTGAAGTGCTTAATTTGTTTGATAAGTTCTACAGATTTTTAGAGGGTTGGCTTATATTCATAACTTTCCAGGAGTTTGTCATAGAGATGTGAAGCCACAAAATGTTTTGGTATGCTTTTGAAGCTTCTTATCTGATTAACCTGTATTATGAAATGTGTTCTTCTTTTGTCTGTAACCTTCTTTTGTTAATTGATTATTCTGTAGGTCGACCCTCTTACTCACCAAGTGAAGATTTTTGATTTTGAGAGTGATAAAATTTTGGCATGTTGTAAGCTAATAATTATAACAGTACGTCGCTGACAAACTTCTTCTATTTGGATATTAGCAAAAAAATTATTTATATTGTGACATTTTGCCTGGTATAGCGTGTGAGAGTTTGTGCTTGCGTTAGCTAAATAATGATGTTTATAAGGTTGTCATTTTTCTTAATGCTGAATTTTACTCTTTGCTTGTTGACATGATTGGATTGGATTTAGTTGGTGTGATGGGTTTCACATATATTAATAATTTAATATTCATAGTTTAAGTATTATTAAAAAGGTAAACTTATATGAGCTACATATTAGATATGTTGAGCAGTGTAATGGCTTATTCCTGTGAAGAAACGAACGAACAATATGCATATTGACCTAAATCAGTGATGCGGATCAAGTTATTGTCTTGATATTCAGCTCAATGAGTCTTCTGTCTTTAAGCACTACTTTTGAGTTGAAGGCACGAACCAACATCACCTTGTATGTTTGGGTACATCATGCTGTGCTTTTCAAGACATCAAATTAATGCTTTAGTGAGCACAGTGGCACACAAATGAGTTTGCTTAGAAAGACTGGCAGATAATGGACATAGTTTGGCGATAATATTGGAAATGGACGATAGATTCCTAATTTAAGCGATAATATTGGAAATGGACGATAGATTCCTAATTTACAGTCATTAACAGTTTTTGAGATTAGTAGGTAAATATTCAATCTCAAAGTCATCAGATGAAAAAAAAGTATGAAGTTGGCATCTTACTGGAATAAGATGCTGACCTTTTATCAAAAGGTGGAGGCGGATTTTGCAATTTCTGATATAATATGTAATGAGGAGTTTAGGGATTTGGCTGAGTATTGCTTAGTCAGATGCCTTGTCTTGCTCTTGGCATATAGTGAAGAAGATAATTCGGATTTTACATAGAGTTGCAGGCATAAGGACACAGTCATAACCATCAATATGGCTTTTAGATATGTGTTTTGTGAATTAAGTATAGTTTAGGCTTTGTGTTGGCTTAATCATCTTTGAAATATTTTCCTAATCCTATCTGTGTCAACTAGGTCTGAGTGCCTATGATTCTATGTGTTTTTGAAATGATATAATGTGAATTAATGTGAATGAACCTTGAAGAATGAAACAGATGAAAAAAGGTCAGTAAAAAATATCATAAAACTAGATATTTCAGTTTGTTTCATTGATGGAATATGCATCAATTGCTAGCTTCACCAGATATTGTTATGTTTCTTTGTATTTATTGAAGATATTTCTATTTTTGCTGGTATCATCTTTCTCTAATTTGTTTTTTATTGGATCGTTTCTTTGACAGTTTTGAGTTGCATATTTCTGGAAATTTATCTTTATTTCTTTTGTCACAATTTCATTTTCAAAGAGTTGTATTATATTATCAGGTTAAGGGCGAAGCAAACATATCTTACATTTATTCATGGTATTATCGTGCTACTGAACTCATATTTGACGCAACAGAATCCAGTACTTCAATTGACATATGGTCAGCAGGCTGTGTCCTTGCGGAGTTACTCCTTGGCCAGGTCTGTCATCTTTCTAATGTTCCTGAAAATGCCATTTGTACAATACTTATATATAAGAACCTAAGAGCCTATAACATTTGAATTGAACTACTTAAATACAGAGATTTTTACCTGTTCTTTTATATTTCAACCACTATTTCCTGGAGCAAGTGTTGTTGATCATCTTCTTAAGATAATCAATGTACAGTTTGAAGTCCCAACATCATGACTATGATTGAAGGATCTTTACGTTTAACTAAGTTTGACAATATGGGCATTTCTTGTAGGTTCTTGGTACTCCAACTCGCGAGGAAATTCGATGCATGAAAACTAACTACACAGATTTAGCTATTCAAAGATTAAATCTCATCCATGGCATAAGGTTAGGACTTCATAGATCTTGACCATTTATGATCGGCGTTGTTATTTTCTGGTTTTGAAAGAAAACTACTGTGCCAAGTGATAAAACTCCTTGCCTCTGAATTTGAGAAACTTGCATTTTGACATTTATTAGGCTTCATCAAGTTCTAAATCATGCTACTAATCAACACAACCCCATATGCACTCAAAAACCATTGTGACCCATATAATTTTACATGGTTCCTATCTTATTTAATACTTCACTTGAGATTTATTGCATCTTGCTATATTTCATTGGTAGTTATTAGTTGTTGACGTTTATTTGTTCTTTTAACCAGTGTCAACATGACGAGCACAAGGAAATTTTTTTTGAGGTAAGAGCAGCAACTGAAGCAAAATATCAGCACCTTTATGAACTATTATACACAAAGGTACTACATTTCCTCATGGTTGCATGGTGATAGAATAATTTACATTACCACTATATTTCTTTATTTGGAATCATTATTTAATGCTTTATGAAGTTCCAAGTATTAGCTTCTTGCATTATTTCTCTGAATGCTTGGCTGCTAAAGCATTGGACAACCAAGATATTTTATAATCACAAAATATCAATATCTGTGGCCTTCTCTTATTTTATTCTTTCACTGAATCAATGCAAATTTAGTTTAACCCTTCATTTATATGTGTATAGATACTCCATTTGGTTTTTTTTTTACCTCTCCTATTGTTGATGTTTTCTAAGGTGAGAGGTGCCCAATCTAAAGCCTGCATCGATTCAGCGCATATCTTGATACATTTTCCATTTCTTCACTACAGGTGCAAATTTAGTTTAACCCTTAATTTGTATATGTATATATACTCCATTTGGTTTTTTGGTTACCTCTCCTTTTGTTTATGTTTGTTTGCTGGCAGGAGCTTTTCTACGAGGAAAGGTGCCCAATCTAAAGCATACATCGATTCAGCTAGGCCCTCACATTGCAAAGGATTGGTTTAACGGTGAAGATAAGAAACATGACATTAAAGTGGTTGTTGCAGGATTATCTGACTGTGGCCAGCTCCGGTCTAAGGGGGTAAGGAGCTGCCTATAGAGTTGTAGGAGAGCTGTGGAGAATGATGAGGCAAGATGTGAGGTTTTTCCTAATAAACTCACTGTTTTTTGGTAAAAAAAACTTCCCTTTGGTTTTTCTTGCTGAAAGATAAGGTTAGAAAAGTCTCTAAATCAGTTCATGTTTATCACTTTGTATTTTAAGCATATGTTGTGAATAATATAGGATACCCAAATAATATGAGAGATTGATTCTTTAAGTTCTTGCAGTTGCTTTTTTTGGTTTCCAGATCACTTACTTAGACATCACTAAAATATTAAGAGCATGTGCTCAATATCTCAGTTTCTCCCCTTACGTGTTCATGTTAAAAGACATGGTGAGTCTTCTGAATAAAGCTTTCTAGTGCGTCTTCTAATAGCTACTCTAAGAAAAATCCCAAGATGGAGTCACACTGAAAAGGGGTCTTTGCGATTAATAGCAGCTGTCAGGCAAAACTTGAGAGGGTTGTTAGAGGTGGCGTATTTTGGCTGGCTGGATTATCAAGTTCCAGGCTGTCTAAACATGCATTGTGGTCCTTGTTTTTCTCTCAGCATAGCAAATTTTCCAAGGTGGATAGGTCAATCCCCTTATTGGCAACAATTTATACATCATACAAATAGTAGAAGCAATGTAAAAGAAGCTCAAATTAATCTACATTTTTATCAAATGAGGATTAGTTACATATATAATGTGCTTCCCTTTTCCTCTATCTTTTACATGCACGCACGGCACACAAACACGTATGTAGTTTTATGTGGATACTTCTTGAATCACGATTAAGCTGGTTTTAGGAAAATTTGAGGAAGTGACTGCTTAATCTTAATAGTTTTGAAAGAAAAACTTATTTTAATTTTCATAATTGTCTCTATGCTGGGATAAAAATCTAGGTGCAGGCTAAAAAAACCTTAATAGTTTTTTGTTTCAAAACTATTAAGATTATATAATATATAATAATAAAAATAATATTTAAATATGAGAGTGCTTTATGCGTTTCTTGTTTGCAGCGTAATAAGCTTTTGTGGATCTGCTTACACTCACTTGAAGGCGAAAGCATCAGAAACGGCAGCAGCAAAAACTTTATAAATAAGATTGGAACTTCCCCAGAAAAAAAAACAAACAACAAAAAAAATTTACCACGTGCATTGCACGTGCAATCCAACTAGTACTTCCTTTAAAAGCACGAGTTCGGAAACTCTTTTTTAGACAAATATACCCCTTTATAGTTTGAACTACCTTATCTATAATCAAATTCTAATTTTTAATGGTCAATATTACCCTTCACTATTTTGAATATTTTATTTATATCTTAATCTATCCTAATCATAAGCATATCTTATCATAATCCTATATGAACCATGTTTAGCTTAACAATTTAAAAAAACTAATATTAATAAAATATATAAAACATAAAAATGATATTAGTTTGTTAAGATAAAGAAATTACAAGTAGATAACATATTATAATACATGAAGTATTGCAAAAAAACCATAAAAAGTTTTAAAATTGCATAAAAGACCCTGAAAAGTTCAAAATTATAAAACTCATTCAAATGTCTCAAAACTTAAAATAAAAAACATCAAATTAAAAAATTAACATCAGTTTGCAAAGAATTTAAAATTTACAGTTAACACCTCAATGTCTTAAAAATTATAGAAACACCCTCAAAAGTTTAAATTACAGACAAGCACATTAAAATTTTTAAATTTTAAAACTTATAAACAACACAGATGAATTCAAGAGATTACCATGATACACCTAAAATTTTTAATATTTAAATTTAAATTTTTTTAATTAACACCCTTAATATCAGAAAAATTATAGAAACACCTTCAAAAGTTCAAATTATCAAAAGCCACCCTAAAATTCTAAAATTTGTAAATAAAATAAGATGAATTCAAGATATTACCCTTAGACACCTAAAAAATTAAAATTTGCCAAAATTAACCTTAAAATTTTAAAAAAACTCCTTCAAATTTTAAAAATCATAAAAAAACTCTAAATTTTCAAAAATTTTAACTAGCACATATCAAATTCGTCGATTGGTAGACCACTGAAATTTAATATTTTTCAAAATTAATCTATAGTTTTAATAATTGCAAAAGACACCCTTAAAATTTAAGAGTTACAAGAAATATACTAACATTTAAAAAATTACCACCAACACATGAAACATAGAATTTAACTACCAAACTTAAAAGTAAATTTTTTTAAAAACTCTTTTAAAATTTTAAAAAGTATAAACCACACCCTCAAAATTCAAAACCACAAAAATGGGCTAAATTTTTAAAACTTGGCAAAGCAAAGTGTAATTATTTGGTATTTTTTTATATTAAAATTTCTAATTTAGGGATTTACTATCCATTTTCAGCATCTAAGAATAGTCTAAGTTGATACTGGTAAACAAAAACAATAAGAATTGATTAAAAACATCCGGTTAATGGATAAAATTTTTAAAAATATTATAGATTAAAAATTATCGGCACTATATAAATTAAAGTAATTTTATATAATTTTAGTAATAAGGCGGGGTAGCCAAAATACATTCGTAACATTAATTGATAGATGTTTAAATCAATAGAAATGATAAAACACTATATAATTATACCTTAGCATTAATTGATTTTAATTTAGAAACTTTAATCTTTGACGTTAATAATATTTATAGGGTAAAAGAATACAAGGAATTACATATGGAGAAACTATTAGAATATTTAGAGATAACTTTAAAAGAATTGAGTTATTTCCATTGCAAATGGGAAAGTGGTGGAAATAAATCTAAAATTCAGAAAACGTCAATGAATCACTTGAATTGGCATTAACATAAGACATATCTATTAATGAAGCACTGAATGAGTTATATTAAAAAATAATTTAATAACTTTATCCTAATCAAAGAAAAAATCTCCATGAAAGACATAAGAAAAATTAGTAAGTATTCATAAATTCCATACTGTGTTCTTCAAATTAAATATTAATATTATAATCTAAGAGAAATTGGTAATGAATAATGCATGTATTTAGTTTAGATCTTTATGGAAAATGACAGGGATAGAGCAAATATAATATTATTGAAATAAGAGAAATTTTTATTGGATGCACATCAGAAGAATTCATTTTAGAGGAAAATAAAGAGATTTCTTCTAATTTATTTAAGTAATAAATTAGGAACACAAAGAATTTTATATATATGAAATTAATATTTATTCTCATTAAAATGGAAAAAAATCAAAGTCTATATTTTGAGCAGTTTGTGTTAAACATCATTAGTACATTTGACTTCTTTGTAAAGTTAAATGAGATGATAAAAAATTAACGAGCCCAGGAAAGATAATAGCATAAAAAATACAAAATTAGCCTGATGTCACAATTGATGTAGATGATGAAGACAATACTCTAGAATTGTCCGAGAAATGATAAATGATAAACCTGAAGAAGGATTGATCTTAACTCAATAAAAAATAAAATAGAAGAAATAAAAACAATATTTTATGAATATTTTATAGAATAGTTTAATTATTTTGAGTGAAATTAGGAATCTTTAGAAGGGAGTTTCATGAATTTTTTTCAGTATTTTTATATTCTTATGTGGATATTTTTATCATATAAAAGTATACTAGAATTAGCATTAATCTTTAATTTATATTTTTTTTATGAAGTCTATCAATGATTAGGAATAAACTTTATATTCTCTTTTGCATCGTTTTAACATACTTTAAATCAATCATTTTGCCATATTGGTTTTAAATATTCATCTTCCTTGTATAATACTATTTTAATATTTTTCACTTTGTAATGATATACTTTCTCAAATAAAGTTTAGTTTCATATCGGTCAAAAATAATATGAAAATTCAAATTATTTTTAAATTATATTTGTTTTTTGTCAATTCAAATATCAACATGAAAATTTAAATTGGGTGTATCCCATTTAAACAAACATAAAAAAAATAATCGGGATGTAAGAGTTTAAAGAAAAAAGTGAGCACAAACTGCCAAAAATACTTAATCATGGTATTAAATCACGTGCATTGCACTTGCACGTGTGTAAAAACTAGTACTTATATAAGAGAGAGTATACTTATATACTAAGAGAGTGTGTATAAATATATATAAGACAGAGTATACACTGTATACTTATATATACTTATACATATATAAGAGAGAATATACTTACATAAGAGAGTATACACTGTATACTTATACATATATTATACATATATATGAGAGAGTATACTTATATATATATATATATATATATATATATATATATATATATATATATATATATATATACACGATCCACTAGTGACAGATGTCATATTCATTGAAAATGTTATGTTGCTCATGTTTTACTAGACTTTCACATTCACATAGAGTTGAAGTGTTCAGCTCGAGGGTTCTAGCACCTGCTACGTATTCCAAGTAGAGCTGGAGCCTTTTATTCAAAACACTTGTAACATGCACTACTACAAAAGGCTTTATTAGTAATGGTTCAAACCGTTGCTAATAAGCCTATTAACAATGGTTTGGATCATTTCTAATAGATTAGCAATGGTTAAAACTATTGCAATTAGTCCGTTACTACTACGGCCGTTGCAATTATCTTATAGCAACGGTATACAACTGTTACAAAAGCAACAACCGTTACTATTAGATTATTTTTTAATAAAAAATAAAAAATCCACGTCAGCAAATCTCAACCATTGCTATAGTGTATTAACAACGGGAGGCAACTATTGCTATAAGGATAAACTTTTAAATATCACTGCTTATTTTCACAACATTAAAAAGAAACAAATAATAACATTTGTAAATAAATTTAAATGCAATTCTATTAAACAAATCCAACAATATGCTAATTACAAAGCTTGTACTTCTTTAGCCCATAAGTTTACATGGTTCCTCGCTCCTTCACACTCTCAAACTCTAAATTTGATAAAGTCTGATGATAGACTGTTTAGCATGATGGCGACCAAAATGTTGTTGATCGAATAGTTTTCTTGCTTCAATTTTCACTTCATCATGAGCCTGCTCCAGTCTCTCTGGTACTGGTAAATGCAGCTTATCCCTTCTTTGATTGTACAACTTCATGCACCATTCCAGAATTACCTTATTGAAGACCTCGACAATAGAATCTGTAGATGGAATTTCCCCTTTGTGCAAGGCTTCAAGAATCTGAAACACCAATTAGAGAATACAACTCAATATAACCACAATATGCCCAGGTATTATGCTCATGATCATGCTGCATGAAAGCGGAATAAGATACTACAGGAAATAAATTATACATCTTAAAAAAGAAAAATGGCATTGCAATTAAAGAAACACCTGCTCCAGAAAGGAAGCAACCTCCTTTCCGCTAAGAGTTTTTCTTTGCACAATCTTTGGACGTATAACAGTAGCAACAAGTTCTTTCGATTGCTCCCTTCGTTCGACATATTTCAGTTCAAGCTCACTATCATTCATATCACAAAGTTTTGTTCTTTGAAGATGAGGCTGCCAAACAATCCCACCGCTATTAATGAGCATTGAAAAGCACATAATCATGAAATATCCACACGTATGTGCATAGGGGGGTGAGATCGAGTGATTAGGATCTAAAAATTGGATTTAAGCTTAGATCCTATCACTTAAAAAAGTATATATTTTGCAACAAAATAGATGAACGTGTTCCAAATCATACAAAATGCATGTGACAAATGGTTTTGTGACATCTTTCAAATGGGATCAAAATCCACAATTTCCAACATCAAGTTGCTTGGTTTACGGCTTAAAATATTTTAAATGTAACAAATTCAGTAGAAAAGACTGTTCACGATTTAGATCAAGATCAGTAGTTTAGTGTGTTAATAATGAACCTCCGTTAATAGTTTGTTCAACATGCTATTCTGCTTCAAGTTTGTACATTGTTCGTATACAGGCAAACATCCTCAAATCACATGATTTTTTTTTTTTTACTTTCAAAACCTGATGATTTCGTAAGGCCTGAACTTGAAAGAGGACAAACATAGATTAGCAAAAACAGCATACGTGTGGTAAGCTAAAGGCTGTACTATTATCACCCATAATTGCAAGGGAATCCCTAATCTGGTTTACCTAAGTGTGGTAAGCTAAAGGCTGTACTATTATCACCCATAATTGCAAGGGAATCCCTAATCTGGTTTACCTAACAAAACAGAAAATAGAGACACGTATGTATCACCCATAATTGCAAGGGAATCCCTAATCTGGTTTACCTAACAAAACAGAAAATAGAGACACGTATGTATAAGAATCACATGCAGTCCAATCAACATAAAATTTGATGCCAAAGTACATGATCAATGATTTTTGTCACCTGTAGTAACAAATAAATATGATTTATTAAATGCATTTCAGAAAATTTTTGTTAAAATCATCTCAATTATGAAATCTAACTAAAACTAACCATCATAATTGGGGACCCGTTTGAGAGCTTCATTCACCATTTCTTGAACGGATTTCCCTTCTGTATGAAGGCATAAATTAAACTTTGAGCAAACATGGAACACCAACTATCCATATAGTGAAATTGGAAATAAGTGAAAACAAGACTAAACATCTCAAAGCTGCATGATGAAGAGAGTACCATCTGTTTTTAACAATTTGATATGGAAGTACTTGACAAGAAAATAAAAAAGCTTCTGAACTTATGTAGGAAATCCCGTTGGATAAGCCACACAAGCTTAGCAGGCTGAAATGCAGCATCCTGCCCCTGTAGACAGCACCAGAATATCAGCGATTAAAACATCCATGAAATAAATATAAATTTTAACTCATTATACTAAGACAGTGGATTACCTTCACTCTGTTTACCATGCAAACATCAGAAGATATCATTCAAACTGTTATTAGCTGAGAATAACAAATTAAGAAAACAAACAACAAAGTATTAAGCAATGCAACAAACCTGCCATAGAATTCTTCCGTAATTTCAACAGCGAATGAAAAACGAGATATGTCAGCCTCACGAATCTTCAACCAACATAAAAAATGTAGTCAGATATGGGATGAAAAGGAATATTTCTGGTTCGGTATATATAGAACTTTAAAAGAAGTTAATATGTGCATTAAAGTTAAAAATATATGCAAATGATAGAAGATAATCACAATACCCTTGTCTATTATTGACCTTCAATATTGGAATGAAAAAAATCATATCTCAAAAAAGCAATACATGTCTGTGACGCCCCTAGGTTCACACAAGGCTGCAGTCCAAGGTGAAACCAAGAATGTCAAACCTGTCATGCACCACACCGTGCAATAACATGTTTCACCATCACAATTAACATCTGTCTAATAGAGTCAACAACTGGTGTAGGTACAATACAGGCAAAAGATAATACAAGATATACTGATGAAATGATGATAGTCACATAAGTATCTCAACATCCAACATACAGAAATACATAGTCAAGATCTGAGTAGATAAACTGGAATACTCAACAAGTCTCAAATACAAATGTCTGACAAGAGGAAATAAGGCACACCGTCCTTTTATAACTTCTAGAATAAGACTCTCAAATACCTAAACAAAAGTCTACTGTGGAACTCCAAAAGAAAATATATCTAAGTAAACAGCTGAAGCTAAAATGCCTCGCCATCAACCTGCGACTCTCCGGGCTCCTGGCTCGTTACCTGAAAGGGGGAGAGACGAGCGTCAAAGCGCTAGCGAGTAACATCACAACCAACCCCAAGGAAACAGGGCTCGTTGTATAAGAAAATACAATTATTATATAAGAGATCTAAAATCATTGATCTTACTATAGAGGGTTTTAGTATTTAGAAATGTACAACACGAGCATAGGTACGTCGAGCGAAATAATCCAAACAAGGAAACCCTCATGTATATACCTTGTATCTCCAATTGTAAATCTCTAAACACCAAACCCGAGGTTCTAGTACAGAAAACAATAATAAAAGAAATACAACTAATCTCAGAACATAAGTACAGTACCAAGTCAAAATCTACATAACTCCCATGTCGTGATCTTCTGTGAGATAGTCATATGCAGGGTTAAGAATTATGTCCAAAACAGGAACTATATACTGTGATTTCCAAACTCTTGGAATAGGTGGCAGATGTCCAACACGAGGACTGAAATAGATTCTAGTCCAACACGAGGACTGAAATAGATTATAGTCCAACACGAGGACTGAAATAGATTATAGTCCAACACGAGGACTGTGAAATTGTGCAACGGTCGCTGGGATATATAGAATAATCTACCTATACCAATCCATAATCAAATCAGGGTGTAAGTCCCTAAATTTATACCCTCAGGTCATCTATCATGCATGGACACATAGTAAGACTAAATACCATTGTCAGATAAACCAGGTAATCACTCGAACCTGAACGAATATTCAAGAATGCACAAAACAGGGAAAAAGCAACAGAGAGAACGGCGATCGACCGCACCGGTCGACCGCTCCCTGATACGTTTCTGTCGATCGACCGCTGCGACCTCACGGTCGACCGACAGAGCGTCGCGGTCGACCGATGAGGCTCTGCAGTCGACCGCAGCTCCAAAATGAGCCCAGCGGTCGACCGCACCGGTCGACCGCCGAGCGGACAGAAACCCAAATCTGGGTTTCTATCAGCTCAAAACCTGAAACAAAATTTACAAAATTTCTACGATAACAAGTGTTCTAAAGTTCTGGAGAAAGAATAACTAATCTCAAGCATGAAATCCATATTCCCGATATTTCAAAATACATGAGAAACAAATTGGAAATGTTTTAAATGACAGTAAAACATGGTTAAACTCTTGTTTAAGAAAACTCAGATCTAGATCTTCATTAGACAAAACGTTGGTGAACTTTCATAACTGAAATATCAATTCTTGCAATCCATAATGTAAAGAACTCATTTTTATACGAAAATACCTGTTGGGCTTTTCAAAAACTCATGAAAAATCATAAACTGAAATATCGATTCTTGCAATCCATGATGTAAAGAACTCATTTTTATACGAAAATACCTGTTGGGCTCTTCAAAAACTCATGAAAAATCAAAATAAAACCATAGAAAATAGGGGTGAGGGATTGGGCGAGATGATACTCGCCTTAGATGCTGACAACTGCCCTGGAGATGATCCTCCTTCGATCAAATCTGCGAAAATCCCCTGAAACTCCTCCGAACTCCTCAAATCACCAGGTCCAGCTAGGGTTTTTGAGAGAAGAGAGATGGGGGCTAGGGTTTTAGGTCTGAGGTGAAATAGGAGCTCTCCTGGGTTGGAATAGTATAAGTACCAATTCCCTAACCCGACCCGAAACCCAAAAGACCCAAAACAAAAACCCGTAAAACCCAAACCTGAAACTCTCTAATACGTTGTTCAGGCTCGACCAGTGTGCGGTCGACGGCGCGCACGCGTCGGTCGACCGCGCAGCACAAAAATACCTGCTGCTTGTTAAATCACAAGCTGGCCAAAACACTCGATTTCTCTCACTTATAAATACCTGTTGGGTTCCCAAACACTGATAAAAACATTCATCTTATATATATATGTATATATTTATGATTATTCATCATAAGGGAATTATTTACTATTAATAATTCACATATATTTATTGTAGAAATTTTTGGGGTTTTACATTCTTCCCCCCTTAAAAGAATTTCGTCCTCGAAATTCGGAAATCATACGCATTTCGAAATATGAATTTCTAGATGAACATATAGAATATTTATACTTAACGATCTAAAATGATAACATTCTCGCTCAAATTCTAATCTAGTGGAACTAGTACGTCGGGTGAAAAATCCAAACAAGGAACCCCCCATATATATACCATGTGTTCCAAAAGATTAAAGAATTAAGCGAAAATATCTTCATTCTAGTGTTAAATATAAACATAACCAAGAATATAACATAAAGTAACATATATATAACATAATAAGAATTAATTTACCTGCTCAACCAAGTGTGGGTAGTCGCGACGCATGTCCTCTTCGCGCTCCCAAGAAATCTCCTCAATGCCTCCTCGGTTCCACTGAACTTTCACTAAGGGAATCACCTTATTCCTGAGTCTCTTGTCCTCCCTGGCAAGTATACAAACCGGAATCTCAATAGTAGTCAAATCCTCCTGAAGCTCAATCTCTGGTGCATCCAATACTCGATGCTGCTCCTCATCATGCAAGTGTTTCTTGAGCATAGAAACATGAAACACATTGTGTATACTAGACATCGAT